TAAGACCATACTTCACAAAAACTGTCAAAAAATAACTCAGATCTGAACTGACAAAATTCCCACCTTGACCAAGACACAAGGAGCCGCTGAGGTGTAGCGGCTAGGTGCTTGCTTGTGGATCCGAACGTCGCAGGTTTAGGCCCTGACAGAGTCAGACTTCTTTTTTTTTTCTCTCTCTCTCTCTCTCCAAAAATGATCTTGGCTCCCAGGTAGACCCTTAAATGGGTATGAGGTAGAGTCCTGAGAAGTAAAGGCGTCACATGTTGCTGACCTCATCACCCACTTCGTGCCAATTGGTCTTTAAAATACAGGTCAAGCTGTATATACCCAATAGGTCTGAAGGGGTGGACAAGGGTCCTACAAAGATAAAGCTGTACGGTTCATGAGGAGATATGAACTACACAACAGCCTTTATCAAGGTTACTGGCCTCTTTTTTTTTTTTTTTTTTTCCGAACAGATGGATCAGAGAAATAAAATCTGACTTGACAAAACCTTGACACAATCACTCAGATTTGACATGTCAAAATTACTTACTTAAACTTGATTTCACAGAAATCATGACAAGCTACTCAGATTTAACTATACAAAACTACTCAGATTTGACTTGACAAAACTGCTCAGATTTGACTTCATACATCATTTTAAAAAAAAAAAATAAAGAAAAAAAACTTGTAATATTAAATAACTATCTGGTGTATCTACAACCAGTGAAAATGCAGCAACATTCAAAAAGAGGAAAAATCCTAATTAAATCAAACCATGAGCAAATACATGTGGAAATATGCTAGAGATATTGAGATTCTTCCTGATCAAGATACCAAAGAAGGCATCACAGACCATCTAGGCAAGCAAATAATCAAACAACTAACAAGAGAAACTTTGGACATATCAAGCAACAATTTGTCACTTCAATGATCATACAACCATCATCATCTAGTAGGTCTCGTACATAATGCTGCTCTCATCACAGCATGTCTGAAAGAAACTTGGTCTCTTGCCAGATCTCCTATCTCTTGTAGCAGGTGCTTTGCAGAATGTCCCTTTCATCACAACATGTCTGAAAGAATCTGGGTCTCTTGCCAGATCTCCCATCTCTTGTAGCAGGTCCTTTGCAGAACGTCCCTTTCATTACAGCATGTCTGAAAGAATCTGGGTCTCTTGCCAGATCTCCCATCTCTTGTAGCAGGTCCTTTGCAGAACGTCCCTTTCATCACAGCATGCCTGAAAGAATCTAAGTCTCTTGCCAGATCTCCCATCTCTTGTAGCAGGTCCTTTGCAGAACGTCCCTTTCATCACAGCATGCCTGAAAGAATCTAAGTCTCTTGCCAGATCTCCCATCTCTTGTAGCAGGTCCTTTGCAGAACGTCCCTTTCATCACAGCATGTCTGAAAGAATCTAAGTCTCTTGCCAGATCTCCCATCTCTTGTAGCAAGTCCTTTGCAGAACGTCCCTTTCATCACAGCATGTCTGAAAGAATCTAAGTCTCTTGCCAGATCTCCCATCTCTTGTAGAAGGTCCTTTGCAAAACGTCCCTCTCGTCACACAACTGCCTGAAAGAAACTTGGTCTTTTGCCAGATCTTTCATCGCTTGTAGCAGGTTCTTTGAAGAACGTCCCTCCATGCCTGAAAGAATCTGGGTCTCTTGCCAGATCTCCCATCGCTTGTAGAATGTCCTCTGAAGAACATCCCTCTCGTCACACCATGCCTGAAAGAAACTTGGTCTCTAGACAGCTCTCCCGTCCCATGTACTTTCATATCCAGGTGTCTTCAACATCCATGGCCGTCTTCGTGCTGGTGAGCACCTGCTCCTCTTCCCATGCCCTTCACCACCATTCTTTTCAAACCAAAGTGGTATTTGATAAAGCCAAAATATGTCAATTTCTGAGACAAGATGTTTTTTACAAGCTAATCATTGATGTTAAGATACAAAAACCATGCCGCTGTGTAACCTGTCAACATTGTTAAGGATGTCAAGAGTGTTACGCACGTCACATCACAGTGCAATGCACTTTTTACATGTACAAAAGAGAAGCAGTGTTCTGTTATCAGCCTTTTTTTCTTCCCCTTTCAACACTTTGAGCCCCAATGAACACATCACTCACTAATCTGTTACCACACAGCTGCCCAATTGGAGTGTGACGCATTCATGATTTTAACTGACCACTGGCCAGTATAATAATGCAAACCGGCAGTTCTCAATGGTATTTCCCGTTCTGTGTTCGAATTTGTACATCTGTCATAAAAGCCAAGCTGTTTTGTAACCTGCTGACTGCAGACATGGCTTTAACATACCAGATGGTAACTTCTTTAACTCTTTGAGTCCCAAGAAATCCATCATTACGTTCATAGGTTCCTATCTAGAAGCCCAATGAACGCATGATGCGCCAATTTTATTACTTTTTTTACTACCCCCTGGGCCTGTATTAACCCCCTGGGCTTTGATTAAACCCCTGGGCCTGTGATGCTAAACCCCCTGGGCATGTGATGCTAAACCCCCTGGGCCTGTGATGCTAAACCCCCTGGGACTCAAAGAGTTAATAACAATACTTATCTTAGCAAATGTGTGGTAGATGTTTTTCTTTTTAGAGACACACAACAACAAATTACAAATGAACCAAAAGCAGCCTGGACACAAATACTCCATCATTTATGTCAGAGAAAAATATTATCTGACAGAAATGGCAACTTGAAATTTCTGTACCAAATTCATGTTTAATCTTGACAACAAATTGCAGAAGGAGAAGAGACATTCTCTGGTCATCTCATAAGAAGAAAACTAGAGTAAATTGTGATGGCTGGAAAGTTGGAGGGGGAAAGAGATGGAGGGAGACATCATGGCATGGAAGATCATGTGCCAGAACTGACAGAAAGTACACGAGACACACGGCTGTTAATGACTACCAATGCCACATTGCAAGGATTATAAGAATAAGAACGAAATGCACTGCAGTTTAGTGCACAAGCTTTATTAGTAATCAGATTTGAAGGACACATTTAATCTCAAACACAGTGCACAACCCAACTCATTAACACACAGATCTCATTTAATGGTACTGAAGCTAAAAAATTGCCATTCATATTTATGAGTAACCAAGATTCGCTAATGCATAAATGACAGACTATAATTTAACATGGTGGGTGTCAACAAATTTTACTTTGGAAATGCATTTTATATACGCTAAATCTTCTTCTTCTTCTTCTTTCGTTCGCATGAGATAAATTGTCTATATCTGCAAAGCTGTCTCTAGTATGAATTTCACTGTCTTTTGTAATTCACTAAGCGGCCTGTAAAGTTTGACTTCCACAAGTGTCTCTTTTGGCTAAAGGTTTTGCCTGAAAGCGTTGAATCTGGGACAGTCTTGAAGGATGTGATCTGTTGTTTCAGGTGCCAGTCCACAAGTACACATGGCTGATTGGCCAATCTTAAATTTGTTGTACATGTGGGAGCGAAGTCGATTGTGCATTGTTCTAAGACTTGCTCTGGTCTGTCCATAATATGGTAATCATCTTGTGCCAGTTTCGTTGGCATTCTGATTGATTTGATCATTCTCTTCTTCTGTTGATAAGTACGCTAAATCATCCTTTATACAGCGGATTGTGGATCAGGACTATCCATTACACTGCTGATTGGTCATTATGAACTCTTTCAGAACTAGCTAACTCATTAGTCAGTAATTACTTATGTATTAAATACACGTCTTAACTTCTTCTTTCCCTATCTTCTGATACAGGCCTCTATTTTATTTAGTTTTGGTCATCTCTTTCTGGGCCAGTCATATTTTTTTTTATATCCCTGAGACTCCTCAAGATTTCTCCGCCTAGGAGCAGAGGTGTCAAAAAAATAACTGGGTAGGACTGAAAGAGTTTAGGCTCCGGATATGGATATACGTTTGGATATTTCTTAGAGACCTCAGTCAAGTGATGTTTGTCTGTTCTTGCTTGTAATTGTAACACTGTTTATTCATGCTGATGAAGGCTTTCTGGCGACACCATCAGTCATTCCTGATTGTGATCATGTGAGGCCGAATCTACTTCCTGTTTGGTTTGATATCCTTTCACAGGCTTTAAACAGAGCCATCAGAGAAAGCAGAATATTATTTTGTTTCTAACGTGCACTAGTAACTTAACTGGGTGAGAAAAGTACGAGTGTGGATTATGCCCCAAATGTTAAGGTACGTCATAAATGATGTTACATGTTTTGATAAAATCACTGACAAACAATTAACTGTACGAACAATAACACAATAAAGTGCAGCAACAATTTCATCTGTCGTTAAAACAAGATCACGAAAAACATTGCTTTTTGACATTTTTGTAATATATGAACTCACAACAAATATCTTTCATAATATTTTCCTATGTCATACGCATACCAAATATCCCCATGTCAGGAGGACCATATACCCACGTAAGGGAAGGACCAAATATCCCCATGTCAGGAGGACCAAATATACCCACGTAAAGGAAGGACCAAAAATACCCCATGTCAGGGAGAGATCAAATATTCCCACGTAAGGGATGGACCAAATACCCCATGTCAGGGAGAGATCAAATATACCCACGTAAGGGAAGACCAAATATCCCCATGTCAGGGAGAGATCAAATATACCCACGTAAGGGAAGGACCAAATATCCCCATGTCAGGGAGAGATCAAATATTCCCACGTAAGGGAAGGGCCAAATATCCCCATGTCAGGGAGAGATCACATATTCCCACGTAAGGGAAGGACCAAATATCCCCATGTAAGGGAGAGACCAAATATTCCCACGTCAGGGAAGGACCAATACCCCCCTGTCAGGAAGAGATCAAATATTCCCACATCAGGGAAGGACTAAATACTCTCATTTCAGAGAGAGACTAAATGTCCTTACTAGAAAGGGACCAATCCCTGAACACAATGTAAAAAATCAAACTGCCAAATGTTCAGACTGCAATATAAAAATGATTTGTCAAGCAACAACACGCTGTCTAAATTACACAAGTTAGTCTCTAATAAGTTCACTTCTTCTTTTTCCCTGATAAGACTGGAACATTCTTCTCTGGCAAATGGGACCTCTGCTCGTCAATGCGGCTGGACTGCACGCGCAGTATGAGGTTAATGAAAATCTTCATCTGGCACTGTAGGGGCAGACAGTTCTTGTGGTAAGGAGCTTCTCTGGTCTTCTAAACGAGTGGCCTACAAATGAGAATAATCAGTCTCAGAAGTGTGGGTTTGAGGTCATTGAATGCATTTAGCAATTTCATGAGATCTTTTGAGTCCTAGTGTTTCTTCTTTGTGGTCGCCGTCAGTAAACACCACTTGAAGAGTTCTGGATCTTTGTCTACCCGTAGACACTAGTCTTGTTCCAGAACTTTTCACTGTCGCATGCACATCCATTTTACAGATCTGGCTTACTTATATGCAAACTGTTGGTTTCTCTGAGGCAGATGCACTCTGAATCTTAAGGAAGACCCTAATTTGTTGACACATTCGACATGCTTTTTGGGGAGGCAGTGGGTCTATCTCCCCCACCCCCCTTCCGGGGCCCCAGAAACCCACCCAGGAACCTTTCATTCACGAAGGTCATGTTTATTTAAACAACAAAAATGTTTCTGTGTTTTTCAAGTTGTACAAGAGTCTCACGGTGTAAGAGTCTGGAACCTCATCGAATGTATATATATATATATATATATATATATATATATATATATATATATATATATATATATATATATATCCAAAGACAACACGGGTGCATTGTAGTCAAGTTTAATTGCAGAGATGGCACAGAATGTCTTCAGTACTGTCAAGAAATGTTTACTAAAGGGCCCACAAACAAACACATCTGCTGATATCTTCTAACTGATACACTTTCAGAAGGACCAGCAGGGACGATAGCTTACTGTGTGTCCACCTCAGCTGCCGGTGCTAACAGATCCCAACCCATGCATACGATTAGTAATTTTTACAGCCACCCCTCCCCCCTTTTTCTCCTCTTTCAAACTCATTCTTTGGTTAATGAGAACAGATCCCTAGTATTTTCAGATTAGCATGAAAAACAGGTGGTCCTGTGTGAAAGGTACCGCTAAAATGTCCAGTCATTAGAAATGACATAGGATAGTTGGTAAGACAACTGCCCTGGCAACAACTGTTAGAAATGAAAACCTTCTCACAGTGAGATACAGCCTTTTTCTATGTAGGAAATGTGTCAAAAGATGTCACCATCATCATGTGCCCTCCCAGGCGGTTTAGGCGCTCGTGTCTCTCCACAAAGATCATTTCTAGTTGGTTGTTGTTAGTCACTCTGGCTGTCCACAGAATCCGCAGCATGCATCTCAGAAACCACATCTCCAAGTTCTTCTAAACTTTCTCACATACATTCCAAGATTCAGGAGGCCCCCATGTGGGTTCAGGAGCCCCCCATGTGGAATCAGGAGTCCCCCCTCCCAATATGGGTTCTGGAGCCCCCCCCATGTGGGTTCAGGAGCCCCCCCCCCCCCATGAGGGTTCAGGAGCCCCCCTCCATGTGGGTTCAGGAGCCCCCCTCCATGTGGGTTCAGAAAGCCCCCCCCCCCCCCCCATGTGGGTTCAGGAGCCCTCCTCCATGTGGGTTCAGGAGTCCGCCCCCCCCCCATGTGCGTTTAGGAGCCCCCCCTCCATGTGGGTTCAGGAGCCCCCCCCCCCCTCCATGTGGGTTCAGGAGCCCCCCTCCATGTGGGTTCAGGAGCTCCCCATGCGGGTTGAGGAGCTCCCCATGTGGGTTCAGGAGCCCCCCCCCCCCATGTGGGTTCAGGAGCCCCCCCCCCCATGTGGGGTTCAGGAGCTCCCCATGCGGGTTGAGGAGCTCCCCATGTGGGTTCAGGAGCCCCCCCCTCCATGTGGGTTCAGGAGCTCCCCATGCGGGTTGAGGAGCTCCCCATGTGGGTTCAGGAGCACCCCCCTCCATGTGGGTTCAGGAGCTCCCCATGCGGGTTGAGGAGCTCCCCATGTGGGTTCAGGAGCCCCCCCCCCCCCCCCCCATGTGGGTTCAGGAGCCCCCCTTCATGTGGGTTCAGGAGCCCCCTCCCATGCAGGTTCAGAAGCCCCCCCACCCCCCCCCCCCCCCAATGTGGGGTTCAGGAGCCCTCCCCCCTGTGGGTTCAGGAGCCCTCCCCCCTGTGGGTTCAGGAGCCCCCCCCCCCCATGTTGTCTGAGAACACTAGGAACTGTCTGAGACACTAGGAACTGTCTGAGAACACTAGGAACTGTCTGAGAACACTAGGAACTGTCTGAGAACACTAGGAACTGTCTGAGAACACTAGGAACTGTCTGAGAACACTAGGAACTGTCTGAGAACACTAGGGACTGTCTGAGAACACTAGGGACTGTCTGAGAACACTAGGAACTGTCTGAGACACTAGGAACTGTCTGAGAACACTAGGAACTGTCTGAGAACACTAGGAACTGTCTGAGAACACTAGGAACTGTCTGAGAACACTAGGAACTGTCTGAGAACACTAGGAACTGTCTGAGACACTAGGAACTGTCTGAGACACTAGGAACTGTCTGAGAACACTAGGAACTGTCTGCAAACAAATAAGCTAGATCTAAACAATGGATGTGCAAATATGTTAAGTGTTGATATTTGACGTATCAACATCATGGTATAAGGGTAGTATCCCATAATGGCTTGGTTCTACTTGTACCTCAAGCCTGAATTCGAAGAACCTCAGCACAGCGCACAAACTCTGTTGCACCGGCGACAATCCTGAAATACTTTGGGCCAATTTTTAACTCCAAATTTTTCTGGGCAGCGGCGTTAGCTACTCTTTTCGATTTCCAACAGCCAAGGGATTTTTTACGTGCGCAACAATACACACAGGTGTCTGATTTTACTACCCAGAAAACAGGGAAAATTACTAGAAATCCATGTGAAAAACCCTAGCCTTTACCGGGGCTTAAACCCAGGACCTCTAGCACTTGAGGCCAACACCATGCCTCGAGACCACTCTGCGCCCAGGATGGGGCAAACATAACTTCTGGATCAAGGCTAAGCCCAGGATGGGGCAAACATAACTTCTGGATCAAGGCTAAGCCCAGGATGGGGCAAACATAACTTCTGGATCGAGGCTAAGCCCAGAACAAACCAGAACTTTCTGCCAGAGTTGACAGCCATTGAACACAGGAAAGAAGAAAAATCATAATATCCTACCTGGCATCGCATGAGCATTTCAAAGAAGTTGTCATCAGGAAATATCAATTTCTCCTCGTTAGAACTGCTCAAGAGCTGCCCAATGACCTCCTGAGAGGTCAGCCCAGGGAAGCTGGGAAGACTAGCTCGCTGGTCATTCATTCTTGATGCCTGGAATCCAGCCACCATATCCATTAACTTCTCACTGGCCGGTGACGACACTGTCAATACAAACAAATACGGAGGTTTTTTTAAAATCTGCCTAGTCTATTATCTCTGCTATTTTGAGAGAGACTAAGGGGTACAGGATAATACCCAGTGCAATAAACCATTTCTTTTGCCTTTATTCTTCTTCTTCTTCGCGATCACCAGCTGTAGACTCTGGCGGAAGGTTCTGGTTGCTCGTCCACTACTGAACTGCAGTCCTGCTCCAGAACCTGAGTGTTGCGTGTTCATCAGTTTTACAGATCACATTCTCTTGAATACAGACTGTTGGTTCCTTGCCTCTCCTGCAGATGCACTCCGACTTCAAAGGAAGCTCCCCTATTAGTCGACTCTTACGACATGCTTTTGGGGAGGCAGTGGGTCTATTCTTGTTTTCCCCACAATGGGGCCCCGGAACCCACATGGGGGTGCCTTTATTCAATAGCTGCCATCTTCCCCGTGTGGGTGTCTGGGCCCCCACTCTGGGGGAAACAAGGACAGACCCACTGCCTCCCCAACAAACATGTTGTAGGCATCAACTAATTGGATTGGAGGCATCCTTCAAAGTCGGAGTGCATCTGCCTGAAAGGCTAGGAACCAACAGTCTGCACTTAAGTAAGCCAGATGTGTGAAAAAGATGTGCACACAATATACAGATTCTGGAAAAAAACTAAAATCCAGTAGTGGATTGACACCCAAAACTTTCCACTGAAGTTTATAGCTGGTGAACATGAAGGTATTAGCCTCTCAAAGTCCAACCCCACGTCCTCGTCGTGAGAGGTGGTAACAGGACAAAGTAGGGGATTGCTAGGTGTGGGCGAAGTATGGTGTGGCCTCGTGCCACGGGGCCGCTATGGTAGCCATGAAGGCCACCCTGGGTCACCCCGAAACCTCCTGGCCAACGGGGCTCTGGTGAAGTTGCGACAGGCCTAGCAAGCCGGCAATGGATTTTAGTATCGCTACAGAAAACACAATGAGATATAAACGGACTGATCAAACGGTATCTGACCACGGATCCCTCGACACCCACAGCGGTAAAAGAGGAAGTGGAGAAGTAAAGAAGAAGAACAGGAAGAAGAAGAAGAATTAGGTGCCATCTTCACAGCGAAGGTTGGTTGTAATGGATTTCAAACACTCATTTGTCTCTTGTGCTGGGTGTACACTCCCTGAGACGGCTGTTGTTCAACTTTTGATGTTATCCTCCCACTTGTATTGCTGCTTACCTCTTGCTAACTTTAACTTGCCTTCAGCATTTCCCTCCACTATGGTTTTTATAAAAGTGTTGAGCCTTTTAATGTAGCAAAAATATTTCACTTATTTCTTTTTTATTTATTCTGGAGAACTCTCTTTTCATTCAGACTCTCCAAAACCTCTCTATCTGATGGAATTTCCCTCCATGATATGCAACATACGTTCTCCTTTAAAGACTATTTTCTTTTAAATTTATTAATGTTTGATAAATAAATCATTTCACAAGTTACTGCTTAACCCAGTGTTTCCTAAACTTGTCTTTGTTGCGGCACTTTTTTTTTTCAATTACAATGTTTCCACGGCCCCCTAACCTAAGTAAAAGTGTGACTATTTGTATGTGAGAGATAGAAAAAAATTGTGTATCTTCGAATATTTTGTGGCGCCCCTGTGAAGAGGTCGCGGCTCTCAGAGGGAACACACCCATTTGGCTGGATTCACAAGATAGTTGCCATCAGGCATGTTTAACCTATTTGAGAAGCTGTCCCATGTTTGAGAAGACAAACACATCTTGTCCAGTCCCATGTGATCCAATCCAGGGTCCCATGTTTGAGAAGACAAACACATCCAATCCAGGGTCCCATGTTTGAGAAGACAAACACATCCAATCCAGGGTCCCATGTTTGAGAAGACAAACACACCTACTGTTCCTAACAAACATGTCATAAAAGGTTACTAATTAGGAGTTAGCTTACACCAGATGTGTTGGGCCAAAAGATGAAGACATCACAGCTTAGCTGTAAACCACAAGACAATATGCCAACCATGTGTTAAGGATAAATGAAGAAGGAGGAGGAGAGAAAAAGAAACAGTAATTAAAACTCAAAGATATGAGCACAATCATCATCATGTGTAGAGCATTCTCTGCAGAATGTCACCCCTATTACTGACCACTTGGTTTGTTACATATTCTGGCTATCCTCCGACTAACGGTTGGCAAAGATGGCGGCCGCAAAATATCCTTTCGAGCCAGAGTCACGCGTCAATTGCACACCAGCGGTCACGAGCACACCGCGGCTGCTGCTCGTGGGTCCTAGCCATCTAGTTTAGCCCCACTCCACGGTGTTCACGAGGCGTGGGGGACACTTGGCGGTGGCGATAGTCGCCGGAAAACTGCCAGAGAACCGCAAATTAAGTCACGCGACTCTGGCTCGAAAGGATATTTTGCGGCCGCCATCTTTGCCGACCGTTAGTCGGAGGATAGCCCACATTCTATATACTGCCTTGTTCTCACATGGCTAAATAAATCAGAAATTAAAACTTCAACATACAAGCATATCAGTATACACATTTAAAAGTTTAGATCATTCTGGTTAAGACATACTTTTACAGAACCAATGAATTTCTTGTTCAGACCGTGATTACCAACTTCCTCCTGGCCTAGAAGATATGCTAGCCCACTGGGTGCGTATTTTCACAGACCAACATGTAAGACTTAAAGTCCTCTGATTCTTCGTTCGACCTTGTGACATGTTGTGGTCAACAGCTAGGCTGTGATATCTGGACCTTTCAGCCAATAAAATCGATTTCAGCAAAGCACTAATTAGCTGCCTTGTACAAAATGTTTACAAAATGTTTAATTGTGGCTGGGGGGGGGGGGGGGGGGGGGGGGGGGGGGGGGGGGGGGGGGGGGGGGGGGGGGGGGGGAGAGGAGAAGAACTAGAGAGTACACATGTATGTGTGTGTCTTCCCTCTCCACCCAAATGAGGCCCCCGACTCAATGCCGCCCTAACACCTGGACCTGCTGGGCATCTGCCAGGAGGCCCCATGCTTATCTATGTATGCAGGTCACCATTTACATTTCCTTGCTGTGGGTAAAAGGTAAAAGTAAAGTCGGGAGATGTGAACCAGCGTCACTGCACACGGTTATAAACCATAAGTGCTCTGCCACCAGTACAGACAGCTAATAAGAATTGTCCGCATGTGTCGCTGTTTGCACTAACTCTGTAGCTACAGCAATGTTCCTCCATTTACCCCAGAGTGTCAACTCTGGTACCCATTTCCCAAAGGCTGGGTGAACCTAGGGAACAGCCCGGGTTTGAACACGTTGGTGGTTGTCATAGGGACCCCGGCACTCTGGTTTGCCCAGGGGCCCAAGATGATGTTAAGATGGCTCTGCCCATACCAAAGCAGCAAACAAAGTTTCACTAAAATATCACATAAACTCTCCTCGGATCACTTAGAACGGATATGATATTACTGGAGAATAAAATAAAGAACAAAACAAGTATCTAGCTACTTACCGTAACCATAATCTAAGAAGTCCAGTATGTCATTCACAAGGGAAAAGAAAAAACTACTTTTAAAATATATAACAAACCAAACCAAAATCTAACAAAACAAAGAAGGCAACTGATACCTTAGCAAACTAAAATAATTTGTACCTAACATTAACCTTTGATCTGACTGTTAAAGGTAATAATTACATCAGTTCTTTAAACAATTAAAGATCCATTAAAAGTCTACAGCAAAACCTAAGCATAACAGTGCCAATTTAGAAGCTTTAAAGTTTCCAATCCAGATTTAAATTTATAACCCATGACACTTATCTTTCAAGATCTGAATTTTAGCCAACTTTACGCTACCAGTGTTAAACACAGACCATTTTAAAAATTAATTTGCACAAAATGCCAACAGAGATGAGATTTCTTACATGAGCAGCTTGAATAACAAGAGATACAATTCAAATTGAAGAAATCAGGAGAAAATTTAGGACTGAAACTAGTCACAGAGTTTGTTAAAGAGAAACATAAGATGGTCTGTCCATCTGATGAGAATATCCTGGTACCAACTGCTGGGCAGCCGCAGTGGTGTAGCAGCTAGATGCTTGCCTGCGGATCCAAAGGTTGTAGATTCATGTCCGATGGAGCCTGACTTTGAAAAAAATTATAAAACCTTGCCTGCCAGGCTGACCTAGTCTTAAATGGGTAACAGGTAAAGGACCACATCGCCAACCAAGTGCTGATTAGTCTATAGAATATAGGTCTAGCCCTATATGCCCAATAGTCCTGAAGGTATGAAAAAAGGCCATTTACTTTGCCTACCAACTGCCACAAAGAGCCATGTTGAAGATATAAGGGACATACAAGAGGAAGATCATACATAAGATGGAATCATGGCTCCAAGAACAGACGTAAAGAAATGAATACCAACAACACATTGAAAAGATCACACAGAAGACCCTTACATCTGCCTTCCCAACACACAGATGGATGTGAACAGAAGAAGATTTATCTTTGACCCCTGTTCATCAACTTCCTGCCCCTGAATGCTCAGATCAGACTGTTCTCAGATGCATTCAATTACTAATAATGAAACAAACAAATGAATTTATATATCTAGTATCAATGTTCAGACAGAGAGAAATACATACAATGTGCAGAAGCAAATTAGAAATATAACAGTAGAGTGCAAAGACACTGAACAGGCATCTGAGTTTAAATATCATCTGGGTACAACATTCACCAAAGATGGAGGGGGGACAAAACTAACATTCGATGCAATAAATCCAACCAAGTATTGGGGCAGCTAGCCCCTGTCTTACAACATAAGACAATCCTAATTATTCCAACCCTATGCTACCAGTGCCAGACATGGTCACTCACAACAAACCATAGAAGAAAATTAGTAACCATAGAAATGAGATGTCTGAGAAAGACTGCAGGAGTGACCAGAAGAGAAAAAAAATCAGAAATGAGGACATAAGAGACAAGGTCCGAAGAGAACCAATTATAAATTACATACAAAGACCAACAACTGTTTTGCCCACTTAGGGAGAATGCCTTGTGATGCCATATCAAGAGAAGGACACAGGGCACAAGGCAGACCAAGAACAAGATGAAAAGATAACATCAGAGAAACACTACAACAGCACAATATGTCTATGGCTGAGACAACCAGAAAAGCAAGAAGCAGAAACCTGTATCTCCCTTGACATTCGAAACGGTAAAAGAAGAAAAAAAGAAGAAGAAAAGCAAATCAGATACTGGGACAACAAATATCATTTCTAACACACACAAATCTCTGCGGACCAAGGCAAACTTCCTAAGAAACATTTGGCTGACATGGTGCTATGAGTGTCAGTTTCAGATCCCTACTACAATAAGGGAGTTGAAATATCGTGAGAGACAGTATCCAGTAGACCTAACAACTGAGCTTTTGCTAAAATCTAAAAGACGTTGAGCTGACATGCTAGTTTACGGCCCATGATGGATTAGAGGCACAAAACAAATATTTTAAACCATCGACACTGGGCTGCAACCCGGTAAAAGTGAAGAAGACAATAGATAGATAGATAGATAGATAGATAGATAGATAGATAGATAGGTAGGTAGGTAGGTAGATTGTAGGTAGGTAGATAGTAGGTAGGTAGGTAGGTAGGTAGGTAGATAGTAGGTAGGTAGGTAGGTAGATAGATAGGTAGAGAGTAGATAGATAGATAGATAGATAGATAGATAGATAGATAGATAGATAGATAGATAGATAGATAGATAGATAGATAGATAGATAGATAGATAGATAGATAGATAGATAGATAGATAGATTAGGTGCACGACCAGAGATCGCTGAAGAAGAGGATAACAAAGATGAGATCTTAAAAGAGCCACTAGATATTAAGAGACAGAAATATAAAAAAAAATATAATAAGCACAGATCAAGGAGCTGGTTACAGACAATATGGAATGACTACATCAAGACCAACCCCAGATTCATGAAGACACCAACTTATTCAGCACACTAGAATGACAACATAGGCTTATCCAATAGAAATCTAAGATCAGCCGATGTGATTACCATGGTTAGATTTACCTCTGCAGATTTGAGCTTTTGATACCACACACAATTACAATTAATCATCATCAATCAACAGGTCCTTCACAGAACATCCCTCTCACAGCACCCCTGAAAGTCTTATCTTTCTCTAGCCAAATCTCTGGCCCCATGTGCTGTCATAGCTAATGCATCTTTAATGTCTTGCATCCACGTTCGCGGAGGTCTGCCTCGGCGACATTTTTCAGAAACGGCACCCTCCTTCATTGCTCTCTCCAGGCCACCATGACGTATGGCCAACATACCTCAGCTTGTGAGACAGGATGCTGTTTATGAGCCAAGTACCCTCTACGTTCAGATCATGCGGGTATTTCCCCTCCACACGGCTCAACAACTGAAACCTTCAGCAATCTTCTATAGTGTCAAGGAACATCAATACCGTACCTATTATAATTAGAGGTACCATTTCCACAACTTGAGGTATGTTGGAAATAACTGTTTCGGTTCCATATTTGTATAAACCTACCAGCAACTGATATGTGATGTGGTTAACATCACACTGGTTGCCTCTACTTCCCAGATCATTTCCTGGTTCAAGCTGGGTTGTCCTGGAAGGTCAATCTTTAAAACCTACCTCAATGAGAATTTATACATTTGACCTTGAAGCTAACATACAAACATACATGCCCCTCACTCCCGCAGTATCTACTAAAAATAATTAGTGTTAGAAAGAATCCCGCTTATTACACAGAAAAAATAATAACTTTTGTATAATAACTATTAAAAAATACAAAGTGAAACACTGGAGCATCTAAGGGCTTTATGTGGACCTTTGTTTTCTAGTTCACTATATAACATTTGTCATGTATGCTAGAATTGATAGGGAACTTGAGGCAAGATGTCAAAAGGCGAATGCAGTAACTTACCAACTCTCCCCACTGCTAAAACACCCAAGCATCACTATGGCACTAAAACGACAACTGATAAATTGCATGTTTATACCAACCCTCTGCTACCAATGCCAAACCTGGTCCCTAACAAGAGCACAGGAGAAAAAGATCACGACGTGCGAAATGAGATGCTTACGTAAGGCTGCCAATGTCACAAGGAGAGACAGAGTTCGAAACGAGAACATTAGAGCAATTGTAGGAACCACACCATGCCTGCAATACATAAAGCAACAAATAGAGTGGTTTGGCCACTTGATGCGAATGCAAACCGACCAACTGCCTCTACGAGCATACAACGAACAGCACTACTGCCCTAGAGCAAGAGGCAGACCGAGAGTACGATGGATAGACAATATATCAGAGATCCTGAGGCAACACAGACTGACAACAACACGTGCAACACACCTGGCCCAGGATAGAAAACTGTGACTCCCCACTACGCTGTGAGGCAATTGTAGACAAGACAAGACAAGGCTGGTGCACTATTTAACACTTGTCATCTAATCTACAGCACAGTATAACACTTGTCATCTAATCTACAGCACCGTATAAACACTTGTCATCTAATCTACAGCACCGTATAAACACTTGTCATCTAATCTACAGCACAGTATAACACTTGTCATCTAATCTACAGCACCGTATAAACACTTGTCATCTAATCTACAGCACAGTATAACACTTGTCATCTAATCTACAGCACCGTATAAACACTTGTCATCTAATCTACAGCACAGTATAACACTTGTCATCTAATCTACAGCACCGTATAAACACTTGTCATCTAATCTACAGCACCGTATAAACACTTGTCATCTAATCTACAGCACAGTATAACACTTGTCATCTAATCTACAGCACCGTATAAACACTTGTCATCTAATCTACAGCACAGTATAACACTTGTCATCTAATCTACAGCACCGTATAAACACTTGTCATCTAATCTACAGCACAGTATAACACTTGTCATCTAATCTACAGCACCGTATAAACACTTGTCATCTAATCTACAGCACAGTATAACACTTGTCATCTAATCTACAGCACAGTATAACACTTGTCATCTAATCTACAGCACCGTATAACACTTGTCATCTAATCTACAGCACCGTATAACACTTGTCATCTAATCTACAGCACCACACTTGTTATGTAAGCTAGAGTAAATTAACAATACAATCCTCTCAAATAAGCTAATGCACTCATACAAACCTGTCTTGTAAGCTAAATTCGTTTTGAACCATTGTAGCCTTTTATACAAGCCAGCACACAATACTAACCTGTCTTGAAAGCCAGCACACAATACTAACCTGTCTTGAAAGCCAGCACACAATACTAACATGTCTTGAAAGCCAGCACACAATACTAACCTGTCTTGAAAGCCAGTGCATTATACAACCAGTGCATGAGCTAGTGTGCTAAAGAATATAAACTTATCATGGAAGCCAGCACACAATACACACCTATCATGTAAGCTAGCTGGGTTATACAAACCTGTCATGTAAGCAACAGGGTTATTCAAGCCTGACATGTAAGCTACTGGTTGACATGTAAGAAAGTGGGTTATACATACCTGTTATGTAAGCAACTGGCTGATATGTGAGCAACTGGATTTATTCAAGCCTGTCATGAAAAGCAGTGCGCAATACACAAACTTGTCACGCACATCCCATCAAACATTGAGAAATCCTACCTAATCGAACATCTTTGCTCTCATCAGGGTCTGGAGATGGATTGTCGTGCAGTCGGAACGAGCATCTCTGATCGTCAATCCGACGGCTCTGGTACTGTGTCAGGAGGTCAAACAAGCCATCGTCATCAAACTCTTCGCCTGAACCATTCTGTGGACACAAATGGAAACAAACAGCTTGAGCTGCCAGGTGCTTTCAACATGAACAAGGGAAGGGGTAAACTAACTGTCTAGTGTGTAAAGATGTAAACAGGGAGGTAACTGCAGCCAGCGGATGACAAGAGGGGCTTCATGCAAAATAAAATGTGACTAGAATGCACAATGACCAAGACAAGAGAGCTTCTAAACAACCAGGGTCAACAACAAAAACCAAGAAATATGTAAGTAAAGTAAAGATCCCTTTTTACGCCTTTAGGCGTATCGGGCATATGGGCAAAGCGTCTCATATTTTTACAGATCATCAGCACTCTGAGGGTAATGTGGTCAGCATTACGCCAGCTGTCTTTACTTTCCCAGGACAGCCCATCCTGGTACCCATTTTAGGCTGGGTCGACCTGCGACGTCCCATACCACGACAACAAACAAGGGGGTTTAATGTTGACTTTGTTGCTCTGAAGCTCTTGCCTTGTCTGCCGGGCTTTTAAGTCACAGTCTGTGTTGTATTTAGTAGAGACCTTGGTCAAAACTTGCAGCTCTATTTGTGGGCACCTTTTTCCACTCCCTCCAGTAAATTATCTAGTCAGATTTTAGGTAGTATTTAGCACTTATGGTGTAAAGATCCTTATGAGACTGCTGAATAATACCATTTTGAGCCCCTGATTTACAAATCTCAGGAATTAGTTGTTCTACTGGATGGTTAGAAGAACCACCATCAAAGGGATTACTTCATTTGAACCATCAAAGGGATCACTTCATATGAACCATCAAATGGATCACTTTATCTGAACCACCAAGGGGATCATTTCATCTGAACCACCAAGGGGATCATTTCATCTGAACCACCAAGGGGACCACTTCATATGAACCATCAAAAGGATCACTTTATATGAACCACCAAGGGGACCACTTCATATGAACCACCAAGGGGACCACTTCATATGAACCATCAAAAGGATCACTTTATATGAACCACCAAGGGGACCACTTCATATGAACCATCAAAAGGATCACTTTATATGAACCACCAAGGGGACCACTTCATATGAACAACCAAGGGGACCACTTCACATGAACAACCAAGGGGACCACTTCACATGAACCACCAAGGGGACCACTTCATATGAACCATCAAAAGGATCACTTTATATGAACCACCAAGGGGACCACTTCATATGAACAACCAAGGGGACCACTTCACATGAACAACCAAGGGGACCACTTCATATGAACCATCAAAAGGATCACTTCATATGAACCACCAAGGGGACCACTTCATATGAACCATCAAAAGGATCACTTCATATGAACCACCAAGGGGACCACTTCATATGAACCATCAAATGGACCACTTCATATGAACTACCAAAGGGACCACTTCATTTTCTGCATTTGCCATCTGTAAAATCTGACAAAAAGTTCTGGTTGTGTGTCCATGACTGGACTTAGGCCTAGCTCTAGGACTTGAGTGTTGTGTGCGGATCCGATATACAGATCTGGCTGTTTCGTTTGCAAGCTATTTCTCAGCTCTCATGCAGATGTGCTCTGACTTGAAAGTCAACATTAATTCTGTCTCTGCTGACCAGACTACCCTGTAGGGAACCTGTTTCTAGAGCCGTGGAAAGGTGCGGACTGGCCTTGACCAGTCTAAGAACTGCTGCCAGTGCAACACCTCAGCTGATGGCTTACTTCTGCTTCTCTAATCAATATCCAGTACTTGTGTGATAACACAGAAGATTTTACAATCAAGATTAAAGAAAAATAAAACACTCTACCTAAGCTCTCTTGCCATCTTTGTACAGTGGCTAAAGACTCGCCTGAGGAAACACAGGCCTTAACGGAGATGGACTTTTTGTGTGTGCTAAAATTAAGCTGGCTCCCAGGTCGACCCTGCCTTAAATGGGTACCAGGTAATGTCCTGGGAAGCAAAGGTAACCGCATTACCCACCAAGTTCTGATTGGTCCTTAAATCATAGGTCTAGCCCTATATGCCCAAAGGCATAGAAAAACGGTCCTTGACTTTACTCACCTGAGCCCCTTTGGGGTCGACACCCATGTCCACAGCCACACTTGCCGACTTCTGAACCTTCTGCTTGGGCCGTGCTCCTGTGTTGGCTGGCTTATTCTGGATGAAGATACAGAGAGAATTTGTCAGGCGCTCTCTCTATCTCAACGCACAACTCTCATCCTTATCGCATACAGACTTTCCTACGTAAAACCTGCATCCATATTCAACACAATGGACTCTTTTGCACAAGAACTCTCATCCACACTCCCCACAACAGACTCTCTAATGCAAAAACTCTTATCCACATACAACACAACAGACTCTTTAATTTAAGAATTCTCAAAAATATTCCAAACAACAGACTCTGGTATGTAACAATTCTCATCTATATTGCACAATAATAGAAACCTGAACACACCCTCGCTCACAAACAAAGGCAGGCAGCTTACTCTGTAACCGCAGGATGTCCCAATATAATTCTGAAATGGAATAAATGGGATTTGCTCACATTCGATTCACATCCAGAGAGTGGATCTTTCAGTCACTGAGTACCAATTTTTTAGTCTGCAATGCTGGAGAGAATTATTGCTTTTTTTTTTTTTAAACTACTGAATTTAAACTTGCTGGTAGAATCAAACAGCCAAAAAATTGCTGGGGTTGGTTCTACAACCTCGTGCAAAGGATAAGCGAAAAGCTTTTGCTAGCAGACTGAATTACTATGTCGTGAAACGATATTTATCAAAAAGGTGTGTCACAAGCATGGCAAGTTTGGAAAGCTCTGCTTTATGGTTTTGCAGTTTCTATGAAGTGGCTTGTATAAAAAGTGAGGATTCTCTATGTGGTTTCTAGGCCCCCACTGTGGGGAAAACAAAGAATAGACCCACTGCCTCTCCAACAAGCATGTCATAGGAGTCCACTAACTGGGGGGTATCCTTCAAAGTCAGAGTGCATCAGCCTGAGAGGCAAAGGACCCAAGAATCTGCATACAAATGATGTGGGGAATTGGAAGTGCACACAACACTCAGGTTCTAGAACCAGTTGAACACCCAGAAGTGTCTGCTGGAGCTTACAGTCGGTGAATGCGAAGAAGAAGGGGAAGAAGGAGGAGGAGGAGAAGAAGAAGACGAAGAAGAAGAAGAATAAGGAGGAAGAGGAGGAGGAGGGGCGAAGAAGAAGAAGAAGAAGAAGAGGAGGAGGATGAGGGGGGCGAAGAAGAAGACAAAGAAGGAGGAAGAGGAGCAGGAGGAGGGCGAAGAAAAGAGGAAGAGAGGAAGAAGAAGAAGAAGAACCAACGATTGCTGTTACTGACACCCACCTTGTTATCTGGAGTCAGCTTTACCAGTTCCATGTTCTCCATGCTGAAGCGGCGGGACTTATCAGGGCGTCTGCCTGAAGACAACAATCTGAGTTAAGTAAAAGACCCTAAGGTGCATTGGGCATAGAGATCTAGACCTATACACTACAGACCAACAGGCACTCAACAGGTGATGTGGGCAACATCCCACCAGCCATCTTTACTTCTCAGAACTTTACATGGCACCCATTTTAAGCTGGGCAACCTGTTAGCCAAAGAAATTGTTAAAGACAAAATCTGGCCTGGATTTGAAGCAAGGCATTGCAAAAATAGTGCACACTAATGAGCACTGTCATCAAACAAAAGTAGTACAATGCTCCACTGAACCTACTTTGTTACCTCACAGTAAATCTTGAAATAAGAATACATAAAGTAGAATTATTTTCAAGACAGTTGAAAAAATTCCATTAATTTATTTTTAACCTTTTCTTGGTGCCAGCAAGCCACTGGGCAAATGATGCTGGACTCACATCTTTGTAGATTAGTCGGCACCAGTGTAGTCAATATCATGCCGGGGACCTTTACCTCCATGGACATTACCTATTTAAGACTAGGCCACCCTGGGATCCAAGGTAAATTTTGAAAAATAATCCAACTGGATAGGAATTCAAACCCAAGATTCCGGGGCAGGTAGGCAGGTGTCTAAAGAGCGGTGCAAGACAAATCTGACAAACATCTTGAACGGCTAGAGTGACCGGACAGCCAGAGTAATGGACAGCCAGAGTGACCGGACAGCCAGAGTAATGGACAGCCAGAGTGACCGGACAGCCAGAGTAATGGACAGCCAGAGTGACCGGACAGCCAGAGTAATGGACAGCCAGAGTGACCGGACAGCCAGAGTAATGGACAGCCAGAGTGACAGGACAGCCAGAGTAATGGACAGCCAGATTGACCGGACAGCCAGAGTAATGGACAGCTACAGTAACTAACAGTTCTGTTTGGACTTTACAATGTGAGTTTACTGGCCATGTTTTGATATGATCAATCTGAATTTTAATTCTATTTCTTCGTTCATCAGAGGATGCAACTGTGTTGTGCCCATTTACTGCATGGTTGTGTAATCGTGCCTTATGGCCAATACATCGGACTTCACGCATGTGTTGCCCAGGTTAGCCTTTCCAGAGACTTTAACTCATTACTGAGCTATTGAGATGTCAAAAGCTGTGTCGTGTCATTGACTGTGACATACTGTTGCACGCTGTAGTTCATCTAGCACAAGTAACAAAGGCTGCCTGGCATTCACAATCAGTAATCATCAATGATTCTGAGTATGAAGATGGCTGATCAGTTCAATCTGAGAATGGAAAGTTCTTGAGAGATGCAGAAAGAGATGTGGTTCTGTCAAATTATCATAAGTCAATCATCTTAGCACCCAAAGATCTTAGCTAAAGCCTTGCTGGCACCTCTCCGACTTGTCTAGAGTTTACCGTCTGTGAATGCTAACAAGAACACTATAATAATTTTTATGATTTGGCTTTGTGATGATTTGAACAGTGGTATGAGTGTCGACAGTTCAGTGCAATGGCAAACTACTGAATGTATACTTGTTGAGTTAAACCACATATACCTATCAAATGATGGGGTTGGCTGCTGACTTGCAGAAAAAATATACTCTAAGGATCAGTTCTTCATTGCTACTTACTCAATGCAGCATCATGAAGATCATCTCCGCTAACAGATCTGCCAAACATGGAAAAGAAGAAACATCTTCTAAACAACGGCAAAATTAGGAATATTTTCAACTATTCTTAGCAGTTACAGGGTGTGCAGTTATCATTAGGGTTTTTAAACACATCTTTATGTCCTCGACCACAAAATGGGAACATGTATATTAACTTGTAGCAAGAAAAGTTAACAGCAAAGAGACTGTTTTGTGAACTAGCAAAGATAAAGTCTTCATTGATCACAGAACATGACATTACGATGTAGAGAAACAAACAAGCTCCCTTCTTACTAATTGTTAACACCTCAAATAAATATCTGAAAATTATTAGGGAAACATCGCCGCCTTCTGAATTTGCCCTTAAAAGGACAGAAGCACATTGTATTGTTGTTTACAGCTAGGCTGTGACATCTGGACCTTTCGGCCCAACACATCTAGTCACCTAATACAACATTCCCCCCAACTTCATGGTATAAACAAATAAGCTACCACTAATTTGCACATGGCGACACTAATGGCCTGCCATTATCTACAAGCAAAATTACTAAAAAATCTGGGGCTTTTTTTTTTTAATTTACTAATTCTGTCTTTGATAGAAAAAAAAGATAACGAGGAGGAAGAAGAAAATCTAAGAAACTGCACACCATATAACATCAGCAATGAAAACCAATCATTAAACAGCACCACCATTCTGATGGATGCCAACAGTGGCCAATACTTCTACCACATTCATCCTGAAATATATTTCTGACTTTGCTCAACAGATCCAGTGTCAATATTTTAGTACTAGGTTTGTGATAACTGTTCTCTAGCATATTTATGTTGGTAACCAGCTGTAGACACTCTGAAAAGTTGTGTGCTTCCAGCTAGGTTTTTCCCCATTTCTGGATATGAGTTGGGTACCTGGTGAAACACTGTGAGCTGTGGATTTAGCTTGGATCTGCTGTTGCTGTTTGTGTGTGTGGGCATATGTGCGTGCGCACGCACACACGTGTGCCTCTGCAGCATGCTGTTGACTATGATGATTACGTTTATTTAGATTGGTGTGTACTTTTCTGGATGCACTCCAAGATTTCATTACTGACCGTTCACGCCAACAGTGAGCTGCAATTCTGGTGTGGCACCATTATTGTTGGCACATCTGACAGCGGCCGTATGCATTTTTACTTTGCATGTTGAAGCTTAAAGACTTTGCTGGGACTGACAGGTTATTCACTAGTTTTCAAATGGGACAGTGAGGGACACTTTGTGGGATTTTCACTCGCCAGGGAAAGAAGCAGTTGTGGTGTGACCTATCTCTAGTGATGTTGGAACATTGACTAACGATTTTAAATGTTTTGCTATAATGGTACCCAACATATTTACTGGCACCTTTCAATGTAACCCTATTTTTTTTTTTTTAAACTATACTCACTCAGTGAAGTTAAGGGAAAGAGAAAATGCTCCTATGTTCTTTTTGTGAGAAATGCTGCAGTGTGAAATGTCTTCTTCTTCTTCACATTCACCGGCTGTAAACTCCGGTGGAAATTTCTGGTTATTTGTCCACTTCTGGACTCTAGTCCTGTTCAAGAAACTGATTGTTGCGTGCACATCCATTTTACAGGTCTGACTCAATTGCAGACTGCTGGTTCCTTGCCTCTCAGGCAGATGTACTCCAACTTCGAAGGAAAGCTCAAAATTAGTCGACACTTATGACGTGCTTTTGGGCAGGCAGTGGGTCTATTCTTGTTTTCTTCCAGAATGGGGCCCCGAAACCCACACAGGGATGGAAAGACAAATGGAAAAATCATTGGTACAAGAGGCAGAGGCCTGTGCAGAAAACCTATGCTAGATGATCTAAGACAGTGGCATAGAGTAATGTCACTGATGGAACTAGACCAAAACATCAATGACCATGATCTGTGGAGAAAACTCAATAATACTACACCACCTGCCAAGGCAAATGATGTCAACAGTATTTTTTTTTCAGCCGTAAAACAAAAGACAGTTTGATAAGTGGAGAGATACAGAAAACATGTTTGAACAAGAGGGAACACCAGAAGAAAAAAAATACAGGAAATCCAACCAACATCACTTGTCCATTCCCCACCTTTCCCCCAGTGTAAATTTAGAAAAACTGTGTTTATGTGCTTCCCTGAAATAATCACTGTATTGTGACAGATTGCACTGTGTGTTTCACATGAAATTACTGGACACAAGTGAAATGATGGTAGCTGAAAGTTGATCAAATCACATGTTTTCAATAAGCTCTTTTTTCCACTGTCAATTTCCCAGTTCAACATTAAGCCAGCTGCCTTTACTTCCCAAGACTCTACCCAGTACCCATTCAAGGTTGGGTCGACCTGGGAGTCAAAGTCATTTCTGAAAAAAGTCTGATACCATCAGGGCCCGAACCCACGACTTTCCGATCTACAGGTGAGCATCTAGCTGCTACACCGAGGCAGCTCCTAGGTTTTTCTACCCTCTCATAATACTGAGACAGCAGTAGCCTTATACACTCTTTACCCTGTGCAATAACCTACATCTGCAGATTTTTTTACAAGCACAATTTGCACAGCTCCCACTGCGTCACCAGCGTCCTAGAGGGCCAAGTTTTAGACCTCAATTCCCAAGAAATCAGGGTCATGTGTGATACCACCTGAACCAACAATGTTTATAACAGTTCACAACCAACAAACCAAGTCAACTCTGAAACTGAGATGCATACCAAAACCTTGTCGCACTTCTTCCTCCTGATGAGCTTTAACACACAATTCTTCTTCCTCCTTTCTGCAGTCCCTGTTTTAACTTTGAGCACCAGGTTCTGAAGAGGTATCAGGTACGAGCCTTGTTGTGGTCAATAGAGATGCTGCCATTTTTAGCCTCTGATATTTTATCCATTCACCACCTGTAAGGGTGAGCCCTAGCTCTGGTCCCATTGGGTCGAAGTGACAGACTGCAATATCTGGAGGTGGTTTTGACAGATCTGCTAACTGTTTCATCTGTTGCCTCTGGTTGTGGTGTAGCCCTGGTTGTGGTGTAACCCTGGTTGTGCTGTAGCCCTGGTTGTGCTGTAGCCCTGGTTGTGCTGTAGCCCTGGTTGTGCTGTAGCCCTGGTTGTGCTGTAGCCCTGGTTGTGGTGTAGCCCTGGTTGTGCTGTAGCTCTGGTTCTGTCTCAACTTGTTTCTCATCCTATCTCTTCATTACATTTGTCTATGACATTTCATTTCTGTTTTTTTTTTTTTTTTTTCTATTTTTCTTCTTCTTTAACACATACAGGTTGCTCTTAAAAAAATAAGGCCACTGATAATCTGATTCAGATTTCCGGCATTGATTTCACAGCGCATTTTCATTACAATTCAAAGCTGGGTTTTTTTTTTAGTTGGTGAACATTAGAGTATCATTTTCTTGTAATTTAGCACTTTCAATACCAAGCAGCGCACAATATGTTACTGAATAAAAGTATGACACAATACTTTTCTTACCGTCTTCTCTCACAGGCAGGTATTATATTAACCCTTTGGTCCGCCATATTAGTTTAAACTAATTCAGCTCCAGTGTCTCTATCTTGGACAACTTTGGACTATATAATGTATTACTTTTAACTACAGCTGTCTGTAATATAAGAAACTAATTTAATAACCTCTTAGAACTGAATGAGTTACAAGTGTTCAATTTTCTTTTTATAAAGAACTCTACAGGGGGGACATTTTCTGTTAAATAAACACAGCATGAAAAATCTGCCATATTCACAAACCCAACATTGCTCAGGTCCAGAGGGTGCTGGATTTTTTCATGTCAACCTATATATTAAAGATGCATCATCCCTCTTAAACCTCGGGGTACGAACCTCTTTGGAAATCTCTAGATGTCTGCTAGCGTACTGCACGGCCATCTTGTGGTTCCCCATAGCACTGCTGGCATTGCCCAAACTCCAGCAGGCCCGACCCTCGCCCACCCGGTCAAACAGCTCCTGGGCAATCGACAGGTGACACTGGTGGTACTTGATGGAGGTTTCAAAGTCTCCCATCAGGGTGTAAGTGTTGCCAAGGCTGTAGCAGGCCTGAGCCTCCAGCGCCCTGTCCCCAAGCTGCTTGGCAATCTGCAAACATTTCCTGACAGGACAGAGACAGACAATTTGTGTCATCATCTTCTTCAAGTGATTACCTTATACTTGTGCAAGGACTCATCATTTGCTGAACAGTAAACATAACCTGGACCAAACACCCTTCTATCCTTTACTTTGTTTCTGATTTCTCTAATAATTCCTGCATCTCCCCCCCCCCCCCCCCCCCCCCATATGTTTGTAGGTTTTATTCCACATGGCTCGGTCTCTCTCAACAGAGCGACCAGCCACCTGCCAAACAGTTTTGCATAAAGCATGAACTCCGTGGCTCTGGTGATTATCCCCAAGAATGTTAATCCCAAGAATCACTTGTAACATCTACTCACTTGTAACATCTACTCACTTGTAACATCTACTCATTGTAACATCTACTCACTACATCTACTCACTTGTAACATCTACTCACTTGTAACATCTACTCACTTGTAACATGTAACATCTACTCACTTGTAACATCTACTCACTTGTAACATCTACTCACTTGTAACATCTACTCACTTGTAACATCTACTCACTAGTAACATCTACTCAACATCTACTCACTTGTAACATCTACTCACTTGTAACATCTACTCACTTGTAACATCTACTCACTTGTAACATCTACTCACTTGTAACATCTACTCACTTGTAACATCTACTCACTTGTAACATCTACTCACTTGTAACATCTACTCACTTGTAACATCTACTCTTGTAACATCTACTCACTTGTAACATCTACTCACTTGTAACATCTACTCACTTGTAACATCTACTCACAAGTAACATCTACTCACTTGTAACATCTACTCACTTGTAACATCTACTCACTTGTAACGTCTAATCGCTTGTTACATCTACTCACTTGTAACATCTACTCACTTGTAACATCTACTCACTTGTAACATCTACTCACTTGTAACATCTACTCACTTGTAACATCTACTCACTTGTAACATCTACTCACTTGTAACGTCTAATCGCTTGTTACATCTACTCACTTGTAACATCTACTCACTTGTAACATCTACTCACTTGTAACATCTACTCACTAGTAACATCTACTCACTTGTAACACTCAGATGCCACCTCAAAATCCCCCAGAAAGATGTGAGAATTGCCCAGGTTTGTGTATGCTCTCCGCTCTGCTGCTTTGTCTCCAAACTCCTTGGCTATTGACAGTCTCTGAGGATACAACAGAATTTAACATATCAACATCATTCTGTGACAGCCATGGAGACACAGTGCTTAGTCTGCTTGTTTATTATCCAGGTGGTTTGGGTTCAAGTACCAGTCATGGCAGAGTTAGTTTTTGACTGTGCTAGCTTGACCCCCACCTTATAAAATGAGTAGCTAAGGATTCTCAGCAATGTATCTGGCTATCTGGGATGCAAGGAAATTAGCCATCTCGCTTCAACTCTACTGCCCTGAGAAGCCACAAAACAACACTTCCAGTTGGGTCAAATCCCCTGTAAATGTCACTTACTAATTTTTTTTTAAGAGTAATGTGTTTAGAAGACGCACAGCTTCATTGGCTGTGTTTGTGCCTGTGCAGTGTTTAGGAGGCTCAGATATGAATATATGAATATATTTACTGCAAACAGCATTTTACTTTGAAGGGGTTTTCTTGTGAACCAAATGGCTTTTTGAAGCCAAGTTGATGCCAGAATTTCACTTCCAGTAGCCTCAATGACAGCGGCCACTGGATCACCCAAATAAATAGTCAACCAATATATATTTGCAAGGCCCCAAGAAATATTTTCCACTTAAAATGCACGCACCTTCCCAGCATGCTCCACAAGCAGAACAGTGTCCAGGAAGCCAGCAGTGCTTTCTCTATAACTACTAGCATGACAATGGAGGTAATGGTGGCCACACAAAGTTTCGTGTGGCTACTGAAATCACAGGGCTAGCCCCACATGTGTTTACTGAGTGTCTACTGAGTGTGTACTGAGTGGGTCCAGACTGGCTCTGTGCGCAGCCAGTGGACTGAGTCACTGCAAAGGTCCGGCGTGCGTGGAGTTACCTTGATGTAGGCAAAGAAAGAGCAGATAGATTTGCTGGCACTGCCACAGTTGCAGATGGCCAGTCTACAGATCATGCCAACACTGTTAATGACATTAAAGAAGAAGAAGAAACCGAAGAGGCTGTGCATTCACATCATCACTTAGGAACCAAACACATTAGGCGTGAATATTAGCACAGCCAAGTATGACAAGCACACCAGAGGTAAGAGAATCTTGTCAACCAGCGCAAATATGCTGTGCTCATTTATATGTTCAGAGGAAACTGAGCACCTACGAACATGTCAGGAGTGCCACTGATGATAACCCAACTTATAACTTGATTGTGATAATGAAGATATCTCATCAAGAGTAGAAAGTACATCTTCTATGTCTCAGACAACATGGTTCCTTTACCTGTTCATGGTAAACTATGGCATCTGCAAAATTTCCCAGCAGGTAATGGGTGTTGCCTAGGTTACCACATGCTCTGCCTTCTGCTGCTCTGTCACCAAGTGTCTTCACCAGCTCCAGATTTTCACTGCAAACAGACCATTTCAAATATTAGACCAGCGACCATGTTTCTGTAAAAATAGAATCATAATCTGCAAAGTTCAGGAAGACAGCTCTAGGCCTGCCGCCCTAAACCCGCAGGCTTAAACCCCCCCCTCTGCCTACACAACCCCCCTCCGCCTACACAACCTCCCTCCGCCTACACAACCACCCTCTGCCTACACAACCCCGCTCTGCCTACACAACCCCGCTCTGCCTACACAGCCCCCCTCTGCCTACACAAACCCCCTCTGCCTACACAAACCCCGCTCTGCCTACACAACCCCGCTCTGCCTATGCAAAAATGGTAAATACAGGTAATAATTGGCAGTTTACCGTGTTTCTTTGGTCACAGAAATGGCAGACTTAACAGAAATGGCCACAGCAACAGGGTACAGTTCCTTGCATGTAAGCATGTAAGTTATAAATTAACACTAAGAGTGATCAAGCAGCTCAGTTATAAATCAACTCTAAGAGTGATCAAGCAGCTCAGTTATAAATCAACACTAAGAGTGATCTAGCAGCTCAGTTATAAATCAACACTAAGAGTGATCAAGCAGCTCAGTTATAAATCAACACTAAGAGTGATCAAGCAGCTCAGTTATAAATTAACACTAAGAGTGATCAAGCAGCTCAGTTATAAATCAACTCTAAGAGTGATCAAGCAGCTCAGGAACATGGACAATGAATAAAAACTGCGGGGGTAAAATGAGGATTTTTCAAAGTGGTTTTATAAATGAACAGAACAGGCAGGCAAGGAAACAATTACAGAAGAATTAAAAAAAAAAGGATTTAATAAGCCATCTTCTTCTTCTTCGTGTTCACCAGCTGTAAACTCTGGCGGAAGGTTCTGGTTGTTCATCCACTTCTGGATTGCAGTCCTGTTCCAGAACCTGAGTGTTGCGTGTGCATCTGTTTTACAGATGGTTTCCCTATAACAGGGCCCCGGAACCCAGATGAGGATTAATAATCCATTACTTGGATGAGATCAAGTTGGACAAGAGAAAGACAATGGCACATGTGGGAGGACAATTCAAATGCCTTGGCAAAGCCTATCTGAATGTATCAAGAAGAAAGCAAGACAGAGGTTGTAGCAGTTGACGCTCGGACACTCGCTGTGGAGACAACACATTTTCTGGTAGCTATTTTAGGCTGGATCAAAACTACCCACTACCTGACCACAGCTCCTAAACAACACTGTAGATCTCTACATCCCACAACGGAAGAGGACATTGTAAACAAGATTATAAGCTGTGTCAACAGGTACAAACTAATAATAACTGTATACTGAGCTTTTCTTCTGGTGGTAAGCAACTGGTAAGCAGCACCAGCAACTTTGTTAAGGCAATTTGTTCAAACCTTCTGTAATAGACACTTTGTGGTGAGTATCGGCATCCTTTTTAGACACTTCTGAGTGAGTACCAGTACTTTTTTCCCCCTGGTTTTACAGAAGAAAAGTTCACTTGAGAATACAACTGGCAGTTTTTGGCATCTAAAATTGGCAGTTACATAACAGTTCAATGAACAATCTGAAATGAGTGCTGTAAATCGCTAGTCTCACTGCATGCTACTTCAAGTTGTTGAATGCTGAATTAAGAATTGACTTCACAGCACCCGGGACACTCCCATAAGCACTCTGTCCCCATCTTCAGCAGCAAGTAAAGAGTTTGAATTCCAATGGTACCAGTAACCGTCTGATTGCGCATTTGTCTCATCCTTCCCCTGAGTGTTGAGCAAGTTGTGACACACAGTAATTGTGAAAATAGTCACATTTTTTAATCGTGATCATTATATGTGAAAGGGTTTTTAATATTGTTTTTTAAATCATGATTCTCTATGGACTTCCAGAATCTGACACCATTACTGTAATTTCATCAGTGGAAAAAACAAATGTATGTGATAGACAACAGGAAAAGATCAAACGTCACATGTAACCAACCACACACGATAAACCTAGGTGGTGTGTGTGACCCTGCAATGAAACTAAGTTACTTTTATGTTGACTGCTGCTGTATTTTAAAATGAGGAGACAGCCCAAAAATGTGTAGGCACTGGTGCCAACCTTCCCCTACTCCTTCTCTTCATCTAGTTACCCCAAGTGCCGTGTTGGGGGAGATTTAAGGGTCTTCGGTGTGCTCTTGCTAATGCACGAATGCAGATTTACAGCAAAGCTGTAAGACCACATCCTGTAAAGTCTCTGAGCTGGGCACTGAGATCAGATTGATTTAGTGATCAAGGTGGTGCGTTACCTGCTAGACCACAGACCGACTAAAGTCATCAAGCCCAACTTACTCATAAAACTGAACTGCTTTCTGTAAACAGTCTTTGACCTCTTGGGTAAATTCACCAGGGTCCTGGTTACCATGACGACCCAGATGCTTGCCTTTAGCATGATAGACATTGCCCAGATTGTAGAGTGCTCGAGCTTCTCCCACCTGCAGACATACAGCAAGGCAAAACAGTTAGACATTGCCCCGGTTTCTCCCACCTGCAGATATACAGCAAGACAAAACAGTCAGGCATTGCCCCGGTTTCTCCCACCTGTAGACATACAGCAAGACAAAACAGTCAGACATTGCCTCTGTTTCTCCCACCTTTGGACATACAGCAAGACAAAACAGTCAGGCATTGCCCCGGTTTCTCCCACCTGTAGACATACAGCAAGACAAAACAGTTAGACATTGCCCCTGTTTCTCCCACCTGTAGACATACAGCAAGACAAAACAGTTAGACATTGCCCCTGTTTCTCCCACCTGCAGACATACAGCAAGACAAAACAGTCAAACATTGCCCCGGTTTCTCCCACCTGCAGACATACAGCAAGACAAAACAGTCAGGCATTGCCCAGATTTCTCCCACCTGCAGACATACAGCAAGACAAAACTGTTAGACATTGCCACAACATATGGTATTCTCACAGAGTGGTTTCCCATTAGCCCGTGGACAAAAGCCCCTGGTTTTAAATTGCCTGTCAATCTATAATTCATTCTTCATATACCAGACCCCTACATGTTATAAGAGTCAGTAATGATGTATCTCAAAACGTATCTCAAGTATTAAGTTGCACTTAATGATTTCTTAAGCCTATATTATAAATTGCTTTTCTATTTCATCACCTTGAGATATTTCTGATAATGGCACACTGTTAGTTTTTTTTTAATTATTATTATTATTATTATTAATGCTTAAAATGATTGTGGCCATAGAAATATCAGGTTTCTTTTAATTTTGATTAATGTTTTAAAAGACTGGTCGTGGAAAATATGAAGTATCCTTTACTACTTTGTCTAGGCTTAAACTATAACCAGAGCTACAGAGATTGTGCTGTGTGAGACGCTCTCGGCAGGCGGCTAGCCATTCTGCAGAATGGTATCTTCCACTGTGACTTAAAGACCCAACCAAATCTCACACAAACAACGACACGCTACGTGAACACCTTTCACTGCAAACTTCAAGCCCTATCCAAGGAAACACTGAACAGTTTACCCAAAAGCTGCAGTAGCGTAGTGGCTAGACGTTTGCCTGCCTGCCTGACACTCTTGGGTTTAAATCTACAACAAGTTGGTTTTTTATTTTCAAAACTGACCTGAGTTCCCTAGTTTACACAGAATAAAATGGGTGCCAGGTAATGTAAAGGGAAGTGAAGGTGGCCACCCTAACTTGATGTGGATTTGAACTCAGGACTTATGGGCCCGCAAGTAAGCACTCTGCCACTATGCTCCTAAACTTGAGCCGTTAACATCACACAAAATGCTATGAGAGGGAATGGACTCCAGAACTTGGTAACAAGTGGCTTAGATTGATGGAAACAGAGTAAGAGGAAGGATGACCTGGCCAGATGAATGGGGTGAAACAAAAACATTGAACTGATCCGTGATTCTGGTGATGCTGTGAGATGGCGAAACATGACAGCCTAAGCTTACTGTCATGGCACATAATAATGATGATAACACCACATGCCGGACACGCCAAGGGGAGGCAAGAAATAAGGAATCGGTGAAGGGGAGGGGCAGAAAGTCGGTTAATCACACCCTTGAGGCAAGAGAGGAAATTCTGCTGACATCATTTTCAAAATCAATAGTTAGTGCAAAAGCTTTCTTTAAAAGACATGCTTGTAATCTCTGAAAGTTGGCTGGGATTAAATAATGAAACAAACTATTTTATTTGTTTTAAATAAACATCATGTAACTACGAATCATGCTTCAGACATGCTAAGCTTCATAGACAATGAAATCATACTGGAGCTGCAGCAAATCTGTATTTATATTTGTTGAATGTGTTTAATAACTTTAAATAAAATGAAGCAAATCCAGATTATAAAGGAACAGTTTTGATAAAATGAGGCAAAACTGAAAGCCCATAGGACAAATAGTTACAACGACATACATTAGTGAGTGATTAACTAACAATATATATTTTTTTATATAAAGAAAGAAAAGGTATACTTCTAGTGAGAGATAGTTATTCTTCTTCTTCTTCTGCCTTTCTATCCCCCAATGGAGCATAGGCCCTCAACCAACTAAGCCAAGTCGTTCTATCCTTCGCCATTGCATGGAGCTCTCCCCATGTCCTCCCAATCTTTCTAACCTCTTTCTCCAGTTCTCTTCTCCATGTGTTTTTTGGCCTTCCTTTATTCCTATGCCCCTGTGGGTTCCAATGCAAAGACATTCTAGTTATGCTGTTCTCCTGTTTTCTCAGTGTGTGCCCTATCCAACGCCAGCGTCTTTTTTGAACTGAAAAGCTACAGAAAAGTTCTCAGAAAACCATGGACCTAGAAGAAGTAGAACATCAGCATCCTACATGGACCTGAATATCAAGGAGAACTGGCTTGTAAACAGCATCCTCTTTTCATCTTCTTCTTCAGCAATCTCTGGTCATGCGCATAATCCACTGTGGGTCATAAACTGGGATGTCTTTTCAAGGTCTCTTAGGTTTCCCCAAAGCTTAGTTGTCAGTTCTACTGGGTGTTACCATATGTCGATTCGCAGCTCCGCCAGGAGAGGACAGTCTTGCAGGACATGTTCTGGAGTCTGTTCAGCACGAAGGCACTGGCAGAGAGCTGTTTGGCTCATACCTAATTTATGTGAGTGTTTATTGAGTCTGCAGTGTCCAGTGCGTAAGCGGCATCCTCTTTTAAAAGCTGAGGTATTTTAGACATGTCAAGTACCATGATGGTCCTGGAGAGAATGGTGATGGCGTGAGCAGTTTCCATAAAGTGAGGCAGAGGCCACCCTCCAGGAAGGTGGATACCGGACTCTGAAGATGCACCAGCTCATTAGCTATGCAAGTGTATAGGGCTGGAGAACTGGCCAGGACATGCTGACTGATGAGGACTCATCATTATGTGTCCTGCCAACTGGCGTAGGCGCTCATGCGTCTCCACAGATCACGATCCCTGGTTGCCTGGAACAGCTCTCTTGATGATATCCTTCCATGCCATCGGTTCAGCCCATCCAGCATCATCTCTCTCACTTTTAATCATCAACAACATACGGTTCTATTGCTGTATGTCTCACAGGGCTCACAGACTTGTCTTCACTCCTGCTCTATCCTTTCGATATCATGAGTCCAGCATGGCACCTTTGACCTCCCTCAACAAAGTTCATCTTAAGGTTTTTCTGGGACATCTCCGTTTCCTCAATCCATTTGTTCCCCATTTCATTGCCTGTTTAGTGATTCTTGGCTTCTCCTCATACTTTGCCCCCTCCCCCCCAGTTTTTGTTGTTGTTACTGTTGATACAAGCAGCTGCCTGAAACATGTCTCTTATTTCTTAATGACTTCGGGTCAGGCAGTTTAGCATCAGTGGTCCAAGGGGGTTTAGCATCAGGAGTTCCTAGGGGGTTTAGCATCAGGGATCCCAGGGGTTTAGCATCAGTGGTCCAAGGGGGTTTAGCATCAGTGGTCCAAGGGGGTTTAGCATCAGGGATCTAAGGGGGTTTAGCATCAGGGATCTAAGGGGGTTTAGCATCAGGGATCTAAGGGGGTTTAGCATCAGTGGTCCAAGGGGGTTTAGCATCAGTGGTCCAAGGGGGTTTAGCATCAGTGGTCCAAGGGGGTTTAGCATCAGTGGTCCAAGGGGGTTTAGCTTCAGGGATCCTAGGGGTTTAGCATCAATGGTCCAAAGGGGTTTAGCATCAGGGATCTAAGGAGGTTTAGCATCAGTGGTCCAAGGGGGTTTAGCATCAGTGGTCCAAGGGGGTTTAGCATCAGTGATCCCAGGGGGTTTAGCATCAGTGGTCCAAGGGGGTTTAGCATCAGTGGTCCAAGGGGATTAAGCATCAGGGGTCCCAGGGGGTTTAGCATCAATGGTCCAAGGGGGTTTAGCATCAGGGATCCCAGGGGGTTTAACATCAGGGGTCCAAGGGGGTTTACCAAGTGGGTTTAGCATCAGGGGGTCCAAGAGGGTTTAGCATCAGGGGGTCCAAGGGTGGAATGCAATTTTGACATTTCTGGGGTTTAACAGGTTAAAACAGACTTTACTAATCTGAATGCCCTGTAACTTAGACGTAATATATATAAGTGGCCAGGGAATGTTGATCAATATCAATAAATATTGCAGATAAAAAAATTGTTTCAGTAGTTAAATATTAGTTGTGTGTTTTTTTTTTAAACAGACTAAATGTTTAGAGAAATTAGTTTTAAAAAAAAAAAAATAATTGTCCACTTACCATCATGGTGTTCAAGATAAACTCGATACAACATATCCAAAACATATCACAAATTAACAAGAACCACTTAGTAATGTATAAAACAAAATATAAACGCAATTTTTACATTAGAACTCGGTGCAAAGACTCTTTTGTAACATGATCACAGAGCACCACAATTTGGTAAAGAACATGACTTCCGAAAACAATTATCTTCATACAAAATGAACTTTACATAACACTGAAATGACATATAATTTTCTGGCTATGTTTGTAACAATTAAGTGGAATAGAACTGTGCGTGTGTGTGTGTGTGAGAGAGAGAGTGAGAGAGAGTGAGAGAGAGAGAGAGAGAGAGAGAGAGAGAGAGAGAGAGAGAGAGAGGGAGAGAAAGAGAGAGGGAGAGAAAGGGAGAGAGAGAGGGGGGGAGAGAGAGGGGGAGAGAGAGAACTAGAACAGTGAGTGAGAGAGAGAAACACACATTCCCTCTCCCTCACCCTTTATCACTAACATTTATTCTCCGTGTGCCAGCTGACTCTGATATTGTTGCATGTTTAGCAGGAGGGGACCTACCAGAACATTCCCTCACAAAGCTTGACTCTATAAATGATTACATGTACTTCGCTACTCTCATCATCTGACTTCAGATAACCTAATCAACATCCTATCAGTACATTCCCTCACAAAGCTTGACTCTATAAATGATTACATGTACTTCGCTACTCTCATCATCTGACTTCAGATAACCTAATCAACATCCTATCAGTACATTCCCTCACAAAGCTTGACTCTATAAATGATTACATGTACTTCGCTACTCTCATCATCTGACTTCAGATAACCTAATCAACATCCTATCAGTACATTCCCTCACAAAGCTTGACTCTATAAATTATTACATGTACTTCGCTACTCTCATCATCTGACTTCAGATAACCTAGTCAACATCCTATCAGAACATTCCCTCACAAAGCTTGACTCTATAAATGATTACATGTACTTCGCTACTCTCATCATCTGACTTCAGATAACCTAATCAACATGCTGTTTCATTTTAATTTGAAGCTCCTAAAGGCGTAAATCACGCTGACATGCATGATGAAGACTGTGCTGTGGCCATATTGTTTTCAAACAAACACTTAGTAACTTGGTAAAGTTCACAAATATAATATATAGTTTTTAACCACATTTCTGAACAATGTGTGTGAACTACATAAGAGAACCAAAAATAACATTCCAATGAGTGAGTAACATTGAACCCAACAATGACTAATTAACACCCAGTGACACAAAGTGTCACTATTCAGATGATAATCCCACAGATGAAAGACCCAGAAACCCTGTTTAACTGTTAGGTTATATTAGGGCCCCTATAACAACTGCAGTGGAGCCTTGAAATAACAAAAATTGTCTCCCATATACAGGTCGGTGATAAATTTAAAAACTGAATACGTCACGTGCTATTTGTGCTGCATGTTTATTACCAAAGACCGCATGATGTGTTTCTTCCTGTTTCAAAGAGTTAAGCTCAATACTGCAACTTACAAAAATATTTTCCAAAGTAAAGATGAGATCTGATTATAAGACAGGTTCACAATTTCATCGCTACATGAAATTAGTTTGGGTTTCACAATGACAGGCACAAGAGATGCAAAGGGAACAGTGAGCTGAAGAAAGTGTGGTTTAAAAAACAGATATATAACACCCCCCCCCCCCCCCCTCCCCCCCCAATTCAAAAGAGGAATTTCATCTCCTGCCATGGAACAAATTTTGGACCCACCACAAACAGGTGGAGCCATTATTTTTTTGACCTACCTTGTCCTCCATCTCCCTCGATATCTCCAGGTGTTTCAAACAGTAAACAATAGCCTCGTCAAATCGACCAATCACCTTCAGTGTGTTTCCCAGATTTCCAGACGCTTTAGCCTCCCCAATCTTGTCATTTGTTGTCCTGAAATATGAACATAAAATCACTGCTTGTCATTTTTTTTTTTTTTTTTTTTTGCTCTGACAGAGAGACAAACAGACAGCAGAAAATAGAGAAAGAAAGAAATGAATAGGGAGAAATTATTATTTTTTTTTTATTAAATAGAAAGAAATGGATGAGTTATAGAAAGTAGTTAAAGAAACCCAAACAAAAATACCAAAGAAAGCAAGAAAGAAAAACTGAAATAAAGAAGAAAAATTAAAGAAAGAAAGAAAGAAAGAAAGAAAGAAAGAAAGAAAGAAAGAAAGAAAGAAAGAAAGAAAGATAGAAAAAAGGAAAGAAAGAAGGAAAGAAAGAAAGAAGAACAGAAAATAATCACATAAGAATGTTTACAAATAAAGCTGTTCACAGCCAGACAAAAAGCTTCCCTTCCGACCCCAGTAACCCCACACTTACAGATTTTTGTCCAGATGCCAACCAAACGTAAAAACCCTAGAAAGACATCATAAACAGTGGGAATATTTGACAAGCGTATACAACATCCATGGCAGGTAACTCATAAACTCTGTGAAACTGGAACCAGGAGCACATACATCAATACAACTACCAAGTACAGACCAGAGCTTTTCAAATTGTGTTTTGTGACACAGCAGTGTCTTCTTCTTCTTCGCATTCACCGGCTGTGAACTCAGGTGTAAAGTTCTGGGTGTTTGTCCACCTCAAGACTGTAGTCTTGTTCTAAAACCTATGTGATGCGTGCACATACATTCCACAGATATGCTTATCTGTATTCAGACATTTTGTTCCTTGCCTCTCAGGCAGAGGTACCCCGACTTTAAAAGATGCCCCCACCCAATTAGTGGCCTCCTGTGACATGCTTGTGAGCTTATTCTTGTTCTCACAATGAGGCCCTAGAAAACAAACAGTGAACACATGAGTGTGTCTGCAGCAGTGTGAAGGTGTGTCCCACTAACATAATTTATGTACACAGTGGTATCTTCTAGGGGCTGGTGTAACCTCTAGTTTGCTGGTAGACTTAATAGCTGTGTTGCCAAATTATGTTTGTCTAAAACACGCCAACAACATGACAAGTTTGGAAAGCTCTGGTGTAAAGGGAGAGACAGAAAATCATTCACCCACTCAAAGTTGCAAGAAGACTGTATGATAAAGTCACCATTACAGTGGTCTTCACACAATTCGCTGTGGACTAAACTTCCACCAGAAATAAAAAATATAAATAATCCCTATACATACAATCAGTAACTATTTGAATATTATCTCACTACAGACTATATGCCCCCTTAAAAGATTATAGTATGTTAAGGCTATGATGTATTTCCTTGAGATGTCTTATTTAATATTTTTTTTTCTCTTTTGGTTTAAAAACTAAAGGTTATTATTGTTTAAAAAATGAAGAGGCGATTTGAACGCATTCCAATGTTTGTAATTAATATTTAATTGATGTTGATGATGTTTATATTATGCAACCTGTAGGACTTATATCATTTTTGGAATAGGCTTATTATTATATTCTTTAAAAGGTTCAGTAATGGCAGTATAATAAGAGCACATTCCAGCATCTGTGATTACGACTTTGATATTGTAAGCTTTTTTTTTTCTAATTTTCATTTTCCTCTTATTTTTATTAATTATGAAATTAGGTACAAATTAATAATTGTATGCAAGGAGCGAAGTGGAAGGGCAGAATGTTAGATGGGCCTGCGTGCCCAATTCGTAACCCTTTTTTTTTTAATTTAATCGGTCAGGTGGCATCTCCACAATGACAGTTGGCTGCAATGGATCACCAACATGTGCTGTCTCTTGTCCTGGTTGTGCACTCTCTCAGAATGCTGTTTATCTGTTTCTTGATGTTGTCCTCCCACTATATGGTTATCTACCTCTTGCCCTTTCCCTCCAGTATGGTTATGAAAGAGTGTTATGTCCTTTTTTTTTCTCTAACTTTATTCAGATTCATTCAGTGAGATTGTGTAGCCAACCTGTCTCATCCAGGTGTCAACTCCTCCACAGTTCAACAGAATCTGTCAGGTTGTCTTCCTCAGCTCCACATGAGATCTTCTGTCTTACTGTGATTTCCTGAAAATAAGACTGGGTCTCACACAAATCTTTGCTCCAAAAGATGCCTTGAGGCAGTGGTTGGAAAATCACGGCTTGTGAGCAAAATGTGTGCGTGCTCGGCCAGTCAGCCACAAATGGGTTTTGACCCTGAGAAAACATGGTTTCTGACAGGTTTCTGGCAGGTTTTTGTCAAGCAATTAGGCAATCAATTTTTTAATTGTCCTGCTGCTGATTTTTGGCTCTTTGATCAAAGAGTTTTTCGACCACTGCCTTAAGACTTCTTTTCAGTGGCCCAGGCATTACTAACTACTCGACCTCACAATGTGAGCAATAGGTTCACGCTTTGACTTTGTGCTCTGCCATAGACAGCCCAATTTCACATTAACTGAGGATTAGCTAAATCAGGGTCCAGAGCTCGGCATAGCAGCCTCCTACATGACAGTCTTTATGTAACTGCCCTTAACTGTGAGCAACTTACCTATTAACTACTCGACCAGTCTTTAGTAGACAGCCGGCCTACTACTGACCAGTCTTAGTAACTGCCCTAACTGTGAGCACACAACTTACCTAGCTAGATTCAGGTCATGCTTGTGGTACTCCAGTGCTTTGCCATAGACAGCCTGGCATTCTAACTACTCGACCAGTCTTAGTAACTGCCCTAACTGTGAGCACACAACTTACCTAGCTAGATTCAAGTCATGCTTGTGGTACTCCAGAGCTTTGCCATAGTCTTGCAGGTAGAAGTAGGCGTTGCCTAGCTGACTGTAAATGGCACTCAAAGTTTTCAGATCATCAGTTCCAGCCTCCACAGCTGCCTCAAAGAACTGCACCCCCATGCGGCAGTCGCCCGCCTTACAGAGTCTCTCCCCTTCCAGAGCGAGCTCCATGCAAGAGCAAGCCATCGTCTGCAGATAAATAATCAGTGATATCATCTTTTATTTAATGAATGTAATGTGAACTGTAAAACTAATAGATCATCCGTGAAATATTCATTTACTTAATGAAGGTAATGTGAATTGTAAAACTAATAGATCATCCGTGAAATATTCATTTACTTAATGAAGGTAATGTGAACTGTAAAACTAATAGATCATCCGTGAAATATTCATTTACTTAATGAAGGTAATGTGAACTGTAAAACTAATAGATCATCCGTGAAATATTCATTTACTTAATGAAGGTAATGTGAACTGTAAAACTAATAGATCATCCGTGAAATATTCATTTACTTAATGAAGGTAATGTGAACTGTAAAACTAATAGATCATCCGTGAAATATTCATTTACTTAATGAATGTAATGTGAATTGTAAAACTAATAGATCATCCGTGAAAAAGTCATTTACTTAATGTAGGCAGGATGAACTGTAAAACAAAGAGACCATCCGTGACTTGGTAATTTATATAATGAAGACAAGCTGAATTGTAAAAGAAAGAAATAAATACAGTTCATTTACGTATCTGTGGCTTACTGGTTATGAACACCGACTCATAATTCTGAAACAGTGGGTTTAGCATAAGCTGCAAGCAATTCAGAAGCAGACCGCTTCACAATGATTTTAACAATGCTATGTGTGTTGAACTGTTCAGTGAGCAATGGAAACTACTGAACATAAAATTACCCAGTGATAGTGCGAACAGCTAACAACAGCTGGAGTTGGCTAACCTCATTCAGTAAAGGATTTGCAACTAGCTGGAGTCATTTCCCCAATCTTCTACCTCTTTTTCGTTCACTCTTATAAGGGCAGTCGGCATATTGTGTTGTGGTTTACAGCTAGGCTGTGATATCTACACCTTGTGGCTCAAAACATCCAATTTCAGCAAACTTCTAACAAGTTGCCTTTTATGACATGCTTACTTAGGGGATGTAGGTCCATTCTTCTCATTTTCTTTCTCAAAATGGTCCCCCAGAACCCACCTGGGGTATTTCCCTAATATTTTTCTTCTTCGAGTTCACTAGCTGCAAACTCCGGTGAAAAGTTCTGGTTGTTCATCCACTTCTGGACTTTTGGTCTTTTTTCAGAACCTGAGTGTTGCGTATGCATCCATTTTACAGATACGATTCATTTGCATGCAGCTGTTGGTTCCTTGTCTCTCAGGCAGGTGCACTCGGACTTCAAAGGAAGCTCCCAATCAGTCGACTCTTAAGACATGCTTGTTGAGTAGGTAGTGGGTCTATTCTTGTTTTTCCTACAACAGGGCCCTGGAGCCCACACTGGAAATCGCCCTAATCAAGATAGGTTGAATGTAAAACTAAAAACAACTATAAGTTCATTTGGACAATAGTGTAAAGTGCCGAACAAGTGCCACACAAGCAAATTAGGTGTTGAAAGAAGATGCAAAGACAAAAACGTATTCAGAAAGAATTATGCAAACTGAATTTTGCAAACATAGAGTGGAATTTCGCCATGAAGGTAAAAGACCCTACTTCGATGTCATTGTCTTGAAAGATAACGAAGATCATACTGAATTCAACTGGTGATTTTCATTATCTTCTTCTTCCAACGGCTGTCTTTGCTAATTCCAGCACTATGTGAGTTCTCAGAATACATCTGTGGTGGTCCTATTCAGGTCTTTAAGAGCCACAGTAGGCTTCTTCTTCTTCACGTTCACCAGCTTTACACTCTGGCAGAAAGTTCTGGTTGCTCGTCCACTACTGAACTGCAGTTCTGCTCCAGAACCTGAGTGTTGCGTGTGCATCAGTTTTACAGATCTCATTCTCTTGAATACAGACTGTTGGTTCCTTGCCTCTCCGGCAGATGCACTCCGACATCAAAGGAAGCCCCCCAATTAGTCTACTCTTACGACATGCTTTTGGGGAGGCAGTGGGTCTATTCTTGTTTTCCCCGCAATGGGGTCCCGAAACCCACACAGGGGGAGGGGGGGCACAGTAGTGTACTGGCTTATCTCTCGCCTGTCGACTTGAAGTCTTGGATTCAAATCCGTATGGAGGCAGATTTTGTTTTTTGTTTTATCTAATCCTGGTTCCTAGGTCGACTCAGCTTAAAATAGGTACTAGGTAATGTCATAAGAAATAAAGGCGGCTGCCAGCAGGACCCTGACACATAACCCAGTGTGTGATGATTGTGTAGTAAAATGTTTCTAGCACCAGAAGCCTTAGTTTGTTACTGGTGTAAGCATGAACCTTTACTGACTTTTCTTGAGGTCAACAATAGAAGCAAACTGGCCACTATGGTGCTGAGGCCCCAATCTTCAATACAAACTTTAAATTACCATTATCAATACCATAAGTCAGATCAGTAAAACGGATGTGCACACAAAAACTAAAGTTCAGGAACAAGACCAAAGTCCAGAAGCAGAGCAACAACAAGGATTTTACTCAGTAATGTATGTACAGTCAGTGAATGTGGAGGAGGAGAAAAAAAAACAAACAAGGAGTAGGAGAATGGTGAATGTAAAAATTGTTAATTACCAAATGGATATCATCCACAAATACTGCCTCCTTTAAAAAAAAGTGTTCCATCTCGACGTGTCACCCTGTGACAAATGTCCCCTGCTACAATTGTCCCTATTTTATTTCTCCTAACCTCTTCTAGAAACACTGTGACTTGTCCTTCGCTACAATTGTACCTATTCTATTTTCCCTTACATCTCTGCTAGAAATAGTGACTGAAATTAAAATTCTACACAATTTTAATTTTAAAAATGTCTCTTACATAACTATTTTATAAAATCACAACTAATGTTCCATGCTGCAATTTATCTTACATAATTTTTTGTCAGTGTCGCCACAATTAAACTACGCTAATGTCACATTCATTACACTTCTCCCTGTTACATTTCGGTAACATCTCTTGCTAGAAACATCTGCCAATATATTTAGCATATACAGAATATTTTGTTAGCATCTTTACACACTTACAGAATACGGTATTATACAATGCTACATGGGGGCACGAGAATTAGAGCCGATGGCGATGGCGATTATAACGCGTTAAGATAAGGTCTCCAGCCTTTCAACATGAGATTTAAAAACATGGTATGTTCCGGGCTGTCACGTGTACGCACCCGTCTGTCACATGTACCCCTGTCTGTCACATGTACGCCTGTCTGTCTCAGTACGCCCTGTTTGTACGCACCTGCCACGTGTAATTATACGAAAATAAGCACTAGCCTGGAAAAAAGATCTAACATGAAAGAAGCCCTAGTAATATAATACCTGTTTCAAATGTTAGCCCTAAACAAGATCAAAACGGGTGGATTTCATTCGATCAAAACGGGTGGATTTCATTCGATCAAAACGGGTGGATTTCATTCGACCACTGAAACGCACGACGGAGCTAGTGAGTTATAAAGTAATGAACGTATAAGTAAATATAAATGAACAATATTACTGGCATATATATATATATATAATAAAATAATATTAATGCTTTTCAACTCGTTTAGTATGAGCAACTGGTATTTTCACTGGCTTTATTCTAAGAGTCGGCTCTGTGGCTAAGTCGATGCGAACGCTTCATAATGCCGGGATGCCGGGTTCGATCCCAGCTGCGGGCCATGCGCCTTGTGTTGGTTTCGACAGTGGTATCAAGAAAGCCGACCGTCCAGGAGCAATGGCAAACTACTGGACGTAAATTCGCCTAGAAAAACCACACAACACAACAGCCAGGGGCTGTTGGGGTTGGTTCTGCAACGTCATGTAAAGGATACGCAACTAACCTATTCTAAGAAGTTATTTTAGGTAATCATTGTTTCTAGTGGTGATGTCCTCCACAGCCGGTCCCACGCCCGGATGTGAAAGGAGGAAGGTTGGGCCTGTCGCGGAAAAACATTGACGGAATAACATGGGGCAGCCACAAGTATCAACAGTTATAAGACAGAGAAGATGGCGCTATATTTCACACATCCCGAGGAGAGACGGGCAGAGCATCACCACACAGGCACTGATATGGAAACAGAGGCACTGGAGAAACGAGAATGTCAAAGAGAAACCCCAGGCTGAAGGATGACGGGAGAAGCCAACGGTGCCGGACTGGATTCCATCCATGATATCAAAGTCACTGCACAGGATAGATCAGACTGGAGAAATAGACTGCAAGTCATATATGTGTGACATATAGTACAACATAACACTGGCAGGCACTGCGTTAATGGCCGGCCCAAGGATCACGCAGACATTGTCACTGCCCTTAGAGAGATAGGACGTTCTGTGGATTCTGGAAGCAACATATCCACTTCACTGCTAAGAATACGCGAATTGGGAGTAAAGATCGGCACAGCCAAGCATGAGAAGCACAAGAAGTCTTGTTAACCAACATAGGACTGGCACTATTACCGCACGACGCTGATGAATAGGTTGAGAAGGGAATCTGAGCGCATATGGATGTGTCCGGAGTGCTGTGAAGATAATCTAACTCATAACAACAGTGAATGAATGAAGAACTATTTGGCCCTCAGGAATTTAAAAAAAAAAAATTGACAATCTAACGGAAGTGGTTAAAGTAAGAATTTTGACATATAGGGTAAATTGTCAGTGCTGGATTTAGGCATAAGCTAACTAAGCTGCAGACTGGGGCCTCAACACATTCCTATTTTTAATTCATAAATGTAATTTAAACTTTTAAGAAATTATAATATCTGTAGTTTTGGAGACTTAATCATTATTATTTATTTTACTAACATTTAGACGACAATATATTTCCATCATCCATATATTAAAAAGGTGTGTATATTTAAAAGTGTTCTGAGATCAGCTGGTGTAATTTAAAACAGAAGGGGTCTCAAGGCTTAATACAGCTAGGGCCTCAACAAGTCTAAACCTGAAGCGGCCAGTTAAGAAAAGACTATCGTGACAGGGGAAATCCCAAGACGCATGGTGAGTCGCCTAGTACTCACTGAAATAAATAAATGATAATATTAATAATAACCAAGCGTCCGTTAAT